GGCTTCAGCTAGCATCTGGTGTTTGTGATTAAGGGCCTTGTTATCTCTCCCATGGTGACACCTTAAACGCCGCTCTTAGGGCTTCCTCCTGTGGAGTTAGGGGGTCCTCTCTCCAAATTTTTAAGTTTTGCTCTAATGTCAGGGCAGCTACAAAAAAAAAAGTATGTCATAAGGAGTTGTCTTCCCTGTGGTGCTTCAGGGTCTAAGTTAGTATACTGCAAAAAGGCCTGTTTTAGGCGCTGTAAGAAGTGAGAGGGATTTTCTGATTTGTCCTGGACTTTATCTAGAAGCTTATCATAATTTATGGGCTTTAGGGCAGCCTTACAGATCAGTTATGAGACAAGTTATAAACTGATCTCTAGCCAAAATCCCACCCGGGGTGTTGTAATCCCAGTAGTGTTCCTGCTCTGGGACAGTCCTAGTAGGGTGAGCTGGGTGAGTTTGATGTATCTCATCTGCATACGCCTTCACGTGATCCCAAACTTGCTTGCACTCCTCATGTAGTAGGTTGTTACTTAAAATCATGAAAATATCATGGAAAGTAAGACTATAAAACTGTGCAATGTATTGAAATTCCTTTATAAAAGGCAGTGGGGTTAAGGGAGTAGAATCCTAATCTGGGGTGAATCTGAGAGAGTTCTGACAGTGGAAAGGGGACATGGATGCTAACAACCCCATCCACCCCAGCTACCTCCCACAAGGGGAGGACCATGGCTGGGTTGGCTTTGGCAGGTCGGGATCCCTTTCGAGATCGAGTGGGGGGGGTGGGCGTTTGGAAGAGGCTGAATCGGAGGAAGCTGGAGCAGGAACGGTTGAAGCAGAAGAAAAGATAGATGGGTCGGGGTCTTAGCAGAGGCTTCAGAGGGCTTTGTTAGAGGCTGGAGATGAACTGGTGGAGGTTCATCGGCTGGATTTAAGTCAATAAGATTTACTTCGGGCTTAAATTCCACAGCTAGAAGGACTGGAGATGAGGAGTGAGAGAGTGTTTAGCAGAAAGATAGAAAAAGGCCTGCACATAGGGTAACTCCTAACATTTTCCAGTTTGCTGACAGAATTTAGGTAAATCCTGCAAAACTTTGGGGTCTAGAGTCCTGTTTGGGGGCCAGTGAGACTGGTTCTCTAAGGAATACGTAGGCCATTTTTTCATACTGAGACAAGTGAGTCTGGATGCCTTAACTAATGGCATGAGGTGTAAAGGTTTTAAGTTTTCTAGAAGACATCCCAGTGGAGTGGATGGTCTTATCTCCTTGGTTGTTTAAGTTTTCTAGAAGACATCCCAGTGGAGTGGATGGGCTTATCTCCTTGGTCAGTTTATTTCCCATGGTGAAAAACTAAAAAACCTCCAGAAGCCCCTCAACCAATGCTCGTCAGCTCGTGGGGGTGTCGAGAGGGCTCAGCCCGATAGACCCTGGGTCTAAATAGGGACTCAGCTATCCCGAAGAATGCAACAGTCCCACATCGGCTAGCCACCAAGGGGGCAAACAGCTACTGATGGGGACACCCATGGGGAATAAGCCAGGAGCGATTGTCAGCAAAGGGAGTTGATCGTGACCTTGAAGATCGCGGTCAGGTGTTCCCCTGCCTCCAAGAAACCAGAAGGGTTCTGGGCCCTCAATTGTCAATCCTTCTGGTTCAGGGAGACATTTACACCGACTGAAAGGAGGTAGCCTTACTAATAGGGTCTAGTGTTAGACGTAGAGTCCCAGCAAACCGGTGAGATGTAGTGTGGGTTGTTGAACTGTGTGTCAAAGTCCCCTTGCCTTCCCACGTGCCCGCCAGCGGGCTGCTTGGGGGGAAAAAAGGGAGACAGCCTGTCAATGTTCCCGGCGCCCATTGTTAGGGGGGAGGGTCAGCCAGGTACATATCCTAACAAGGCTCATAACAGTTTAGATGGCATGAAAAAATAGTACTGTCTCTTCTCTAGGTTGGTACATCAATGACATTTCAAGCATGCTCTGTCCATTACTTGAAGCCTAGGGAAGGAAGGGCTGCTGGTGTTCATCTGCAAACAGGCTTGGTTTGTGGTAACTAGTGTTGCTTCCTTTATGGCAGCCAATCTCAGGCTCAACACCTTAAGATCTGAAATGCATGTGATAGGAAGAAGGAAGTATCACAATTGTTTTACTTGCAGATTTTGAATGGTGCTGGACAGGTGGCTCAGTGGGTAAAGGGTTTGTTGCCTAGTAGCGTGGGGATTGCAATCTTGGTGCTATTACTGAGAGAAGAGATGCAAACCACTTTGCTTTCCTTCTCAAAAAGGAAAAAAAAAATGTGAAGACCAGTGAAGTGGTACTCCTAAAGGAAAGGTATTTGCTGGTCATTATGACTGCTTTATACATTTGTTTTTGCTTTTCCTTCATTCCCTTTAATGTATTCTCCCACATGATTCTTTGTTTCTTTCGGAGATTAGAAGCAAATTAACTTTCTCCCTTTCCTTTCCCCTTTCAAGCCCCTCACATATTAAGCTGCCTGCTCCACGGCAAATCCATGGTCTGCTTTTTAGATGAATTGTGTTTGAGTGCATGTATACATGAACATACATATGTGTGTGTACATACACATATATTCCTAAGTGTCACATGTCCTGTCCTTATAATGTTGTTATGTGAGAGATCAAGGTTGAACATTTGGCACTGGAAACCAATGGCTTTGCTCTTCCCTGAAAAATACCACCTCTCCAACTCCAGCCCCATTGAATGTTCCTTGTTCTTTATGTATAGCTGAGGCTTCATGGGCTTTTCCCTGTTTGGTTTGGTGTGTTTCCTGTTCATTGTGGTCATCCTTATTCAGCTCACATTTGGTCACTCTTATTGGTCAAATGTTCAAATGAGTTGGAGATGAATTCTATCTCTGGTCTTAGAGAAATGGCATTCAAAACTAATGAAAAGATTGTAAGATTCCTAAAATGAAAGTAACATCTATCCATCTGTCCCCTTAATAAGATGTGTAGTTCTATAAAACCCAAAAGCCCCAGTCTCAAAGTACTTACTTCCAGATTCTAACTTTTAAGACTCCCGATTTTTGCTGGAAGAAGTGTCAGTTTGCATTTCTTTTTTAATCCCCTTTCCCAGAATGCCTTGAAACTAGGTTTGATTTGACATTTATAATTTTCTAAGTTACAGAAAACAAAGTTCAGTTGTGTAAGCCACTGGGCCCATAGGATTTTCCTTTCGCAGCCTAGGCAGAAGGACTCAGCCATGCCATCATGTTTTGTCTGGGGTCTTTTTGTAGCCCCATCATCTGTGGCATATTTCCCTTTCTCTCTGACAGGGGTATTCATGCTGGCATCATATGTGTTGATTATTTTAGGTTAGAGAGAGTCCAGTTCTATGATATCAAAATCGATTTTATTATTGGAATATCTTGGAGATGTTTTAGCATATTGGTCAATCACACAAAGCTTCCTTTGAGTCCATGGTCCTGCTTTCTGGTCTTGTAATATCCAAAACTGGATTTCATGGACCATACCTGTGGGTTTTCAGAAAGAAGACTGATTGAGGGGTTATAAGTGGGAACTTAACTGAAAGAAAGAAGACAAAATCCCTACAGTAGAAGTGAACCCAGAAGTGGGGGGCTATCTATGGTCCCCAGCACTTTGGTTATGGCATTATCTGGGTAGAGGCATGGGGGATGGGTGAGCTAGACAGTCCAACTGCCTTCCTCATGAGGTGTCTAGATGACTGTCCTTTTCTATTTATCTTCCCTTAAGTGATCCAAATCCACTGCTCTTTTAGGGTAAAGACCCAATAGAGTATCACACCTCCTGACATTGTTCTTGGCATCTGAGCAAATCAAAGCCACAGTCAGCTTATTTAAGCACCATGGTATCTGTGGTCTGTAGCAGAGACAACTACCAACAGAACTAAGGGACTTTGTGCCTTGTAGCCATGAGTGAAAGCTGCTTGCTATGGGTTACCTACACAAAACCTGAGCAAATACATTCTACCTCTTATTTTCAACACTGATAGAAGTGAAGAAAACTCCTATGGAGTTTATGGAATATTTTATATTTTTAGCCTCACTAATGCCCCCCAAATATCAGAAATAGAAAATACTAATGACATTCCCATTTCACAGATGGGTATGGCATGATACTGAGGCATGCAGTGATATACACTTAGGAAGTGCTTGTACTGCTCTCCAAGAAGACAAGAAAATGAAGTTTGTATAAACATGTAAAAAGCGAGGGATTGCATATTGCTACAGGAGAGGACAGTAAGGTTGGTCAGTTCCTAGAAGTCCACCACCAAATACGCCCAGGAAAAATGGGTCCATAGAACAATCATGTCGCTAGTGTCACAAGGCAGAGACAGCCTAATTCCAACATCATACCAGATCCTTGTTTGTGTCTGAATTGAAAGCGCAGACCCTGCGATGACTTTTCCTCCATATTCAGTTTTCAAAGCATGGACAGGTTTTATTAAATCAATTCAGGGGGCTTGATCTTTTACACATAGTCCTCAAAGACAGTAGGATACGGGAATGTTTTTTTAGGGATCCAAACCTCAGGGCAGGAGTCTGACATGTATGTGTGTGTACAGCTGTGTGACCGTGTCCTATAGTGGGAAATTACCAATACGGAGTCATGTAGAAATATAAGGGTATTTAATAGGGAAAAGCCTTACTTACAGAGCGACCTAGCCAGCCGGCGTGGAAGCAGTCTGTACCCAAGCCCAAAAAAGAAACCGAAGGTGAAAACGAAGTCACCCTATGTCCTCTGACCACTCCCTCGAAAGTTTGTGAGGGCGTGGTCAGGCACACCTGTAGCCAGCCCCTAAGTAGGCGTGGCTACAGCTTCCCCTACAATGTCCAGTCTTGATTGAAATGATTAACTTATCATCTAAGATTCTAAGTCCTAGTGTGTGTACATGCATGCACAATGAGTCTCTGCCAGTTCAAATAAAAGGAGCAGAGGGATTGATGTGAACTAAATCAAGAAATTCTAAAGGAACAAAATGTCACAGTTTCAAGAAAAGACAAGAATGTTGTAAAATGTGGTTTGCTTGGAGTCAATTTCTGGTCATTTCTCACATGACAAACCATCCTGCTTCCTTCCTTGTCACAGAGACCATGCTGGTGGTGATCAGGTGAAGGAGAATCTGCTTCAGCTGAGGTGTCACTTCACATGGGGACTGCTGATTGAAGACGTTGACATACCTGATTTGGAAATAAGGATCCAGGAGGAGGTTCAGTTCCTAGACATCAAGAACCCAGCAGGGATGCACAACCTGCTGGCCTATGTGAGGCACCTGAAAGGCCACCGTGAGAAAGCCCTGCAGAGTGTGAAAGAAGCAGAAGCCCTGACCCAGAGGGAGAAGATGGACAAGAGAAGCCTGGTGACCTGGGGCAACTGTGCCTGGGTGTATCACCATATGGGCAGCTTGTCAGAAGCTCAGGCCTACCTGGACAAGGTGGAGAACACTTGCAAGGAATTCGAAAGTCCCTTCCGCTATAGGATGGAGTGTGCTGATATGGACTGTGAGGAAGGCTGGGCCTTGCTGAAATGTGGAAGAGAGAATAATAGACGAGCCATAGCCTGCTTTGCAAAGGCTCTGGAAGTGGAGCCTGAAAATCCTGAATACAACACTGGCTATGCCATTGCAACCTATCGTGAAGACTACAAGGGCACTAATACTTCTCTAGAACCCCTCAGGAAGGCTGTCAGCTTAAGTCCAGAGGATCCATATCTTAAAGTTTATCTTGCTCTGAAGCTTCAGTTTTTGAGAGAAATAGCTGAAGCAGAAACACACATTGAAGATGCCCTCAGCAGCACATCCTGCCAAAATTATGTGTGTCGCTATGCAGCCAAGTATTACCGTAGGAAAGGCTGCATAGACAAGGCACTCCACCTCCTACACAGGGCCTTACAGGAGTCACCTGACTCTGGCTACCTGCATTACCAAATAGGGCTCTGCTACAGTAAACAAATGTTCCAACTGAAGACATCCAGAAACAGGCAGTACAGAAGCCACGGCAATTTGCAGGAATTAGCACAACAGGCCATTTGTAAATTTCAACAGACTTTGAAACTGAGGCCTACAATTGAGATGGCTTATGTTTGCATGGCTGAAGCACAGGCAGAACTTCACCAATACGAAGAAGCAGAGGCAAACTTCCAGAAGGCACTGAACACTAAGAGCCTCTGGGGTCACACAAAGCAGGATGTTCATTTCCGCTATGGCCGTTTCCAACAATTTCAACAGAAATCAGAAGACAAGGCGATCACCCACTACTTAAAGGGTCTAAAGACAGGAGAAAAGACATATGTCTGGAAGAAACTTCTCACAGCTTTGGAGAAAGTGGTTCAAAGACGTGTTGACCACAATATTCGGCCTGTGGAGAGCATGGGCCTCCTTGGGTTAGTCCACAAACTGAAAGGGAACATGCAGGAGGCCCTGCTGTGCTATGAGAGGGCTCTGAGGCTCACTGGGGAAATGAACCCTGTGTTTTGAATGCAGCTCAACTCTGTGAAGTTAATGTAGGCATCACTGAGGCTTCTGCTCTCCTTCCTGATAGCTTTGTCCAGAACTGCATAGCTTGCTGAAATGCCAAGTTGTAAATGTGTTAGCTCCTGCCACCTCTTTCTCATCCTCTCTGTCATGTCTAGAAGCAACTTCTGTCCCCACTACTCTTGTTCACTTAATGACCAGGACTGACACCTGCTGTCATCTGAGGGATCATGGAGCAGTTTTCCTTATGTCTGTATCTTGGGTAAGAAAATCTTCCACCCTCTGCCTGACAGTGTCCTGCACAAAGAAGTCTTCTCCAAAAGTTTTCTGTTTTAGGTCATCAGAAACTTTTACTACAGTACAATGTCTGAGCAAAACCAATAGCAAAGGAGAGAGTTTGAAAGCAGGAGATATTTCACCTCACTGGTAAATTATTCACAGTAATAAGACTGTCATGGTTGGGCAAAGAAAAGCAAAGGAAACTTTCTGGAACCTTACAGAGTGAAGAAGACATGAGGAGCTTTTTCCAATTTACCTTGTCACTGATAATGTGCTATATGTGATGCTTTTTCCTCAACTAAAATAAATTCAATAAATTCTTGCAAATTACAAGCCCTTTCTGTGTAAGTTATCAATACAATTCAAAAGAATATTCTGGAACCCACATAAGACAGAACTAAACTCCCTTTATGTAGGTGACAATGGTGCCCTTGGGACAGTACATGAGGCTACTGTCAGTGGGTCCAAGATGCAACACTAATGCACAAACTGACTTAATGGAGCCCATTTCATATGGAGAGAAACCTTGCCAGTCTAGACACGGGGCTGGGGCGGGTGGAATAGCGCCTTGGTCCTGCCTCAAGGAGATGATGGGGCAGACTTAGTAGACTTCCTAGGGGAGGCCTTTCCCTCTCTGAGGAGCAGATGGGAGGTGGGAGGGAATGAGGGAAGAGGGAGGAGAGGAGGGAGGGGGAACTGGGATTGGTTCTAAAAAAATCAGTAAATATAAAACCCCCAAAAGATAATCTTTTAGTGTCCCCAAGAAGGCATGGGCTAGCAGAACCAGCTATCAGAAGCCTGGTGAGCAGGTAGAAATTAAAGCTGTGCACCTAGCTAGAAGCAGCTAAACATATGATGAAATTATTTCATTCTACACAACATGGGACAGTAATGGTGACTGATGCTACCTTCTACAAGAAAGTTGCCATTTCTCTGTAGGGATTATATTTGCTGTGAGCCTTTATCTTTTATTACAGAAGTAGCAATTAATATTCTAGGTATCAACTCCAGAATATTTGCTCCTACAAATATGGCTGTATATAGAATATATACTGGGTGCTTCAGATTCTCAATAAGGCCCCAGAGAAAGGAAATTCCATCTCACAGCCATAAGAGGAACACATGTATGAAACAGTTTAATTCCTTGCCACTCAGATCAGTTTTTTTGTTTTTGTTTGTTTGTTTGTTTGTTTGTTTGTTTTAAGTAAGCTCCAACTTACCTGCTGTAAGCCTCCTGCCCAGACCCAGGATATATACAGTTAGGGATGGTCTTGGGCTTCATTACCCTGACAGTTGTTAAAATTGTTGGTCTCATAAAATTGGCTCAGCTTCAGCTTAACTAAAGGTCAGAGAGTTCAATCCAATCTTGTTCTCTCAAGGAGAAACTGCAGAATGTTTGGCTTGAGGCGTGGCTGTTACACATTGCCCAGCATCCCCTTATGTGCTCTGTGTCTGCTGACCTACACTGCCAAAGCTCAGGAGCACTTCCCCCTGCCATCCCACCCGCTTCCTGCTGCTCATCTGTCCTGTCTGCTCTTTTGGGTTTTCCGTGCTCTTCTTCCTCACTCGTAGTCTACTCCCTCTATTATTATCCTGAATCATTTCATTTACACAACTGCATTGAAGAATCTTCATCAATGAGTTCTGCCCTCCATGTGTATAAAAGGGACAAGCATGGGTGACACAATTCATGTGCACTCACACACACACACCAAAATAAATAAATGTGGAAAAGATTAAATTTATAATGTTGAGAGAAATCAATGTGCATTATATTTTGAGCATCAGGAGGCAACTGATAAGGCCCCAATTATGTACTGAATGCAGAGTGTGTGTCCTTAGTTACCAAAGCTGTTCCAAATGTCCCATGAGGAAGTACAGATCAAATGTAGGACAAAAGTGTCCAAAGTCAACTATTCATGGACTGAGCATAAAAACTTCATAAACGAGATGGAGCAACAGGAAAGTGAATGCCGTTCAATGGCCTCTTTTGTGCCTTTGATAGCTATGACCTTGGCAGGAAGAAAACATGGATCACCCACAGCCACTGCCATGCTGCTTTCAATTACAATTACCCCAAATGGCACAGCAAATTTTGAACTGCATGCTAATGGGACAGAAGGGCCAGAACACTGATATCAAGCTGGGTATGGGGATGGGGCTGTGACCTCTAGCTGGTGGATTTGATGTAAAGGTGATAGGTAGCCTAAGACCTGCTCTGCCTGTGCCTCGGATGACAGATTTTAAAACACAAGTGATGACTTTGAATAATCCTGGGTGTTTTGTATTGGGCACCTTCACTAACACTGTGTATTGGACACATGTCAGCATACATGTGAAAACATCCCTTTGCACCCTCATTTCAATACAGCAAAAGTCATACAATTCTTTTCCCATGTCTCTTGTGCATTAGGAAGACACTGTGTATCGTCTTCTCTGGAGATTCACCAAGAACAATAGGTACAATAAAGGATGACACTGCATGTGGGGCCCCTTCCCATACCCTGAATGTGGACTGGAACCACAGCTGAGTCGCTGATTAACAGCCACACAATTTCAATTTTATACAGTTTGCCTAGGATCACAGAGTCCCTGGTTCAAATCCAGGTGCACATTACAATCCCCTGAGAATTCTGATTTGTTTGTTTGATGGATGGTCTTAAAACTTATTTTAAATCAGATTCTGGAGTGATTGCAGTTGGGCTGTACATGAGCCTGAACAGAATTGATTTAGATTTTTTTCTAACTGATTCTAAAATGTAGTGAGGATTAAAATGCCAGCACACTGCAATTGTTCCCTTATGATCCAGGGACTGGCAGAGGCGAAGTGGCCTCTCACCAAAGGTTATTCTCCTGCAGGTGCTTCAGATAATGGGGATGGGTACCACAGCCTATGCTGATACATCATTTCCTGAAGGTTTCCTTTTCTCCACCCCCTACTTATCTCTTCTCTATCTTTCCTGTACACACACACACAGACACACACAGACTCACACACACACACACACCCCCACACCCACCCACACCCCCACACACATACACACACACACACACTCACAAATACACATGCCTATAGGCACATACCCTCACTTACACTTTGCTATTTGTTTCTTCTCTCCTTTACACTGTCCAGTATCATAACATCATAAATGGTTTTATTTATTACAGAGAGTGGGGAAGAGGTGAAAGATCAGCCTGAGCCAAACCCCATAGAACCAGCACGAGAGTCACACCTCAGGGCAAAACCCTTACCTGTCCCCTGCTTCCCTGGACTCTAGAGCTTTGGAAAATGAAGCATTCAGTACATTTCCATTAAAGAACTGAGGGCAATTGTTCTCAAATATGATTTTCTTTCCCACCCATGGACACAGATCATTCTCTTTTACCCAGAACATGAGTCCATGACCTTTTAGGAGCTGTCCTAGTTATTGGTGTGTTTCCCTAAAGCAGCATTCTACCCACTGCAGGACAACTCTTTGGAGGTTGTGTGATAAGCAAGGGATAAACTAACAGGAGACTGTTAGCAGACAATGTTACAACACTCACTCTATACAGTTAAGGATTCAGAGATGGAAACCATCCCATTCCTCTAAGTTTCATTTTTTAAAGTTACAGCACATAATCGTTAAAGAAAGAATCACCTTTCACATAAGAAGTGTGAACACTTACAGTAGCAATAAGAGAAGGAACAGACAGCACCCATTATTTGGATGACCTCAGGGACCAGACCCTCCCCTGGTATTGAACTGAAGCTGCAGTTATCAGTGTACAGGAGTTTGAATGAGCATGAAGCAAGTCCCGATGGACAAGCAGCATGTCTGCTGCTTCCCTTTCACCTGTCTTTGACTTCTGACACACCTGCCCAGGGAGGAGGTTTGCTTGGGATTAGGCATTGTCCCTTTGTATGGCAGTTTTAAAATGTGTCTTTTTCTTATGAATGGTCAGTGACTTTGATCTCCAAAAAGAACTGGCAGTAGACAGAATACCAGAAAATGTGAAAATGTGTAACCATGCTCAAAAATGGATGGATGTGTCTAAGGAGGTCTAAGTAGGGCATGATGGGCAAATCTATAACACCGTCCTAAGGAGATGGAGAGGAGTAGAATAGATTGATGGATGGAATGTAAGATACAGTGGGTGTTTAATAAACAAAAAGTAGCCTATGAAAGCTGATGCTGAGGATTACTTAGAAATCATTATCCCAATAACTTCAGTGAATCCAGGAGACCAACTCCCACAGAAAAGTCTGTCTCAATGGGATGATATTCTTTTGTCCTGTCTCACCATAATGAGAGTGAGAGTTCAGTAAAGAGCATCCTGGGAACATGCTGGTGATGTTTTTTGTTTTTTGTTTTTTGTTTTTTCTAACATTTTTTCAAATATTATGCTACGGTAATCAGCCTGCAGGTATGCTTGGAAGCCAGAAGAGGGCAGCAGATTACAATGCAGATTGTTGTGAGCTACAATGTGGCTGTTGGGAATTGAACACAGGACCTTTGGAAAAGCAGTCAAGTACTCTTAACCACTGAGCGGGCTGGTTATGGTGTTGATGAAAACTAAGGAAATCCAGATACACTCTCCTCATTAAGCTGCAAAAGTCTAACTGAAGAGTTCTACCTTGATGTCAAGTCTAAATGTCTGCTTGGAGTCTTGCCAGTCCTCTGGTCATTATATTTTGAACACCAAAAACTTCATTTATAAACAAGCTTGATCATTTCTCTCAAGGACAAAGTGAAGCAAAGATTTTGAATGCTGATTGTTTCCATTAGTAGGCATCTTGTAACTGTCACACAGATGACAACCATGGAATCATATGACCATAATGACAA